GAGTGTGGCGGAATAGTGGGGCGAGTGTGGCGGAATAGTGGGGCGAGTGTGGCGGAATAGTGGGGCGAGTGTGGCGGAATAGTGGAGCGAGTGTGGCGGAAGAGTGTTGCAGGGCGTGGCGCAAAAGTGTGCGAGCGTGGCGCAAGGGTGGGCGAGTGTGGCGGAAGAATGCGGCAGGGTGTGACGGAAGAGTGCGGAAGGGTGTGACGGAAGAATGCGGCAGGGTGTGACGGAAGAGTGGTGGCAGGGCGTGACGGAAGAGTGGTGGCAGGGCGTGACGGAAGAGTGGTGGCAGGGCGTGACGGAAGAGTGGTGGCAGGGCGTGACGGAAGAGTGGTGGCAGGGCGTGACGGAAGAGTGGTGGCAGGGCGTGACGGACAATATACAATTACTTTTCAGTCAGCCATCATCAGCACAGTTGCAGAGACGTACGCACCTTCAGCACAACTTCAGCGGACAGGACAACATCGACGCAAACACAGAAGATACGTTACATGGACACCCAGAGTATACGACCTTCTTCCAACTACAGATGGATTCTACGAACATTTTCATCCCGTGAGTTATGTCTGACAATCATACAAACATTTCATCACTTTCATCACTATATACAATTACTTTTCAGTCAGCCATCATCAGCACAGTTGCAGAGACGTACGCACCTTCAGCACAACTTAAACGGACGGGACAACATCGACGCAAACACAGAAGATACGTTTCATGGACACCTGGAGTCTACGTCCTTCCAACGACAGATGGATTCTAGTTGGATGAATGAACATTTTTATCACGTGAGTCATGTCTGACAATCATACAGAACTTTCATCACTTTCATCACTATATACAATTACTTTTCAGTTAGCCATCATCAGCACAGTTGCAGAGACTTACGCACCTCACCCTGAGCACAACTTCAGCGGACGGGACAACATCGACGTAAACACAGAAGATACATCGCAGATAACCTTGGCCAATTGACCTGGACATCGTGAAGGACATTTCATCGACACCTGCATGGAGTCTACGATTCTACAAACATTTTCATCTCGTGTAAGTTATGTCTGACGATCATACAAAATTTTCACAACCATTGTCAAGCAATATTTTTTCAATGTCTTATTTGTGATTTATTTACGAAATCATATAGTGCAAAGACTCCAGTGTGTAGTACAAGAATAATAACAGGAATAATTCTATCCTCATCTAGCATCATCTGACGTCATCAGCACAGTTGGGAAGACATCGATCACAGATTACCTAGCTCGGACGAATCAACGGAATAACAGACGAAGGACACAGCAACCGAGTGGCGGACAAGCAGCGGACAAGTGGCAAGCATCGAGGGATCAACATAATTGTTGTTTTGTGTGTGTTTTTCAGGTCTCCCACAATCTGGATCACCACGTTGCCGTCGTGCGGGGCTTGCGTACTCCTATGATTCTAAGTGCGAGGTCAGCAATGGTATAAC